GCGGAGGTGTCGGGAGTCAGAATGTGACATCGGTCCAGGCACCTCTCTAGGACACGTGAGGGAGCTGTAAGCAATGCATGTATGGCTGGAACTCCCTCGTGGCCATAGCCCCGCCAAGCTGACACTGGGCACCAGGCAGCATATTTTGAATGCCTGCTTGGCACGAGAACTGACAGTGCAGCACTAGGGGGAGACTTGAGTAGCCTCTCACCTAGAAGAGTGAAAGGCACATGGTGACCCACTGGACACGAAGACGTGTATCTAAACCTCTGTTTTTAACCTTAACGGTGAGACAAGTTTTTTTGCATGCTGGCTGGTGAGTGTGCCTGGAAACTTTTTGCTGTTACTGTATAAAGCCCTTCCATGTGCACCTTGCTGTAAAGCTGGTAACAAATTGATGAGTGCGTTTGCCATTTGTTTTGCTCCACTGAACACGGGCTCACGACCCACCAGTTGAGAACCAGGGATCTAGAGGCCTACGCTACATCTGATCCTGCTTTAAGAGAAACTTGTGCGGTTGCTTTAATTTGAAGCAATGCTATACTAACCATGCCGTACACTGGTGTCTGATAATGCTCACATTCACATACTCTGGGGAGAAAACACGGACTTGAAGGCCTCATGAGGTATTTTTCAATGGCTCAGCAGCATCTCAGGAATCCATTTATAGAATATAATTGACTAGAGGAAGGCCATCCAAAAAAACATTTAACCCAGGAATCGCCTCCATGTGCTATTCATGTGTGCACAGATGTAAAGCTCTAGCAAGCCTGCTCAGGTCTGGTAACACTAATGGTTAAAGGCCATGTCCATCACAAGAACAGACCAAGAAGAAAATCTGCAATGCTGGATAAAGAACATCCAAATCAATTTACATTAAAGGAGAACTATGAGGTGAGTGATTTTCACCCAGCCTCATAATCTGAGCAGACCTGTGACAATGAAACTGTCACAGGTCGGCTCAGTAGATCGGGGAGTGAACACATACCAGCGCTCGTTCACATCTTGATCATCTCCCTGCAGAGAGCCGTGACTGTCACTCACAGCTCCCTGCAGGGATTCCCCCCTCCAGCGCTGACTGGCGGAACGGAGGGGGGCGAGTGCAGCTGGCTCTGCCTCTAGATAGGCAGAGCCAGCTGTCAGTAACGCAGCTGGGTGGATCCAGAAAGAATTGTCAGGATCCGTTCCGGCGTCTCAGTATCCGTTCCGGCTACAGCTCGCGGTATACAGTTGTACATTAAAATATTTTTGCAAACCAGAAGAAAGCCCAGCACTGCCTTCATTCTGGCTGGGAGACTGTTATTCCACCCGTAAAGGCTCTGTGTATACTAATGTGGGAGAAGGGGACCCCACTTCTGGAGCATTCATGCCCCTTAAAGCCCAGCAACAAGTAGCCCCATTGCCAGGGTTCACCGATTGTTTTTTCTTTTTGGGAGGAGGGGAAGGGGTACTGGAGTAAAGCAGATTTACCAGATTTCCCCCGCTCCACAGGCAATTGGTGGTCTGCTCTTGTCCCTTGGCGTCCTCACGTCTAAGGTACCTGCATTAGACGTGATGTCAGTGGTCCTTAGATCACCAGAGCCGGGGAGAGGAGACTGTGGGGACCAATCTAGAAGCCTGGAGGGAGTGGGAATCTAGTGAGTAAATGTGCTTTACTCCAGTCCCCTAAACAAAAACAAGCACTTAACCCTTGCAGCGTGGGGGTACATTTTTGTTTGCCATAACATTATGACCAGAGAGGTGAAGTGAATAACAAAGGTAATATGTATTAGAGATTGTTGATCCAGGAGTCTCAGATTGCCTTAGGGAACCAGGGAAGAATATTTCCCTACTGCTGCAAATTGGATAATGCTTTACAAGTTTTTTTTGCCTTCCTCTGGATTATCTACATGTTTAAAAGGTCTTGAATATGAAAGCTTATTTAATTTTTAATTTGGCTTTTGGTTGAATATATGTCTTTTTTCCAACCTATGTAACTGTTTATTGTAGACTTCTTTTAGAAGACTTGTGTCATCTGTCAGTTTTTCAGGTGAACCTGATCAAGAAACACCGTGTAAACGGATGTGCGTCTGTTTACACCTGGACTCTGCAAAAACAAACTGATCAAAGATCCGTTTTGCTGGATCTGGTTCGTTCTGGATCGGGGGTAATGTGATGTAAAGGGACACATGTTTGTTTACATCCGATTCCCCATAGACCAACAAGGGGTCTTGGTCATATCAGTTTCTGAAGCTGTACGGACACTGATGTCACAGTGGTGACATTCGATCCGTACTGCTCCGATCAGGAGATTCGGGCACAGATCCTCTCCTGATCAGCCCGTGTGAAAGGGGCCTTAAAGGAAAACTATGAGGCGAGTGCTTTTCACTCACCTCGTAGTTCTAGCCGACTTGTGACAATGAGACTGTCACAGGTCGGCTCAGTAGATCGGGAAGTGAGCGAACACATACCGGCGTTCGCTCACCTCTCGATCCTGTCACGGCTGTCTGCCGTGACAGGGGAGGGGCTGGATTCCCCCCTCCCATCCGCCAGCGCTGACTGGCGGAACGGACGGGGGAGGGTACAGCTGGCTCTGCCTCTTGATAGGGATCTGCCTAGTCACGCAGCTGGGCGGATCCCGGCATAATTGTCGGGATCCGCAAAGCGTCTCAGTATACCGCGAGCAGCAGCTCGCGGTATACTAAGCCTAGGGTGACGGGAGGACGCTAGTTTGTGTCCTCCTGTTACCCTAAGGAGAACTATGGGGAAAAGCCCTGACCCCAAAGTTCTTCTTTAAAGAATGCATAGTTCAATAAATGTTAGAATGTGTTCTCTTTATATTACTGATATGTCATTCCTAAGAATTTGTGGAAGAGACTTTCATTTTGCATTAATAAACCGAGACAATTACAAATGAAAAAATCTATCATTTAATAAATGGAACGGACAGATAAAAGGAAAAGGCAACAATACTGAAACAAAGATGCAGAGATTTAAATTGACATTCACAGACCAGAAAAAACATTTAAAATGTCCAGAATTCCTTCCTATTATATTCCAAAAGTTGAAAAGGTAAAAACAAGTTACAGAAGGACATCAGGGCAAAAAAAAAAGAAGAAATTGCAGGTTGTATATTAAGCTCACCCTGTAGTGGTAGGATGCCAGGGCTGACCCCCTTCTGAAAGTGATAGCCGCTTGGCTGCCCTGCTAACTATACTGCATTCTAATCCACTGGCCTGAAACAGATATTACAGAAGTGCTGCTTTCAATGGCTACATTCTAGTTCTGGGTCATCAGTTCAAAAAAAAAATTAAAGCCAGGCTAGAATTTCCAGAAGCAGTTCAGCAGTAGCAGCTGATGTCATTTTCTCCGCGCAGGTACTGACTTTGCATTCAGGGTTAAAGGGACTGTACACCAAAAAACTTCTGCATCAATGTTAAATATATGCTGTAGAGTTGTACTGCCCAACAGCTTCTTATCATCTGGGGTGTCTGCTGGTGGGATCACCTCAATTTAGTTTCAGACTCTACTAATCCCTCCTTGGTGCCTTAAAGTAAAAGTCTGTCCAGGCTATGGGAATTCTTAAAAAGTAGTAGAAATACTTTAATTCAAGCCCTCACTGACCTCAGTAGCTGCAGGCACCATGGAGCAAATCATCCTCAAACTCTATTTTCCCTCAGTAGATAGCTTTGCCCCCTCCTGCCAGCAGTGAGGCGCCAGGCTTCTAATCCTTAAAGGCCAAGTCCACCTTTAAAAAAAAAAAAAATGTAACAAATGCACCAACATTGAATTGAAAAAAATGTGCATTGGATTAAATTGTGGCATTCAGGCCTGAAGAACATGGAAACTATGATCAGTGCTTAACAAGTGCAATGCACAGGCTCCTGCATTGTTTATCCCCGCCCCCAGGTATGGAGGTGCAGATCTTTTGTTATGGGGTTGGAGGAAGTAAACAAGACTAGGAGTGCATTGATATCCTTGCACTTGTGTCGGTGTGATCTGTTAGTGCCTCTGCCATGGTGGCAGATGGGACTCAGAGCCTTCCCATTCACAAATCTTTGTGAATGAATGAGGCAGCAGACATGCTGAATTAAAAAAAAAAGAAGAAAAAAAAAAATATATATAAAAAACACACACACAGGATGATGCAGGAAGAAGCACCCCAGGTAAGCGGGGCAGTTTGATTGAGGATGAACATAGTAATGTTTTATACTCTAAATATGGTTGAAACATGTTCGGAATTATAGAATATGTTTTTAATGTAAACTTAGAGCAGGTGCACAGGAAGAGGGGAAATGAGACCTGGACTTGAACAATTCAACTGACCCCTTGAAGAAGAATTAGTTCACAGTGTCTGCAGCACAGAGGTCAGTGAAGGTTCATTTTAGGTAAATGCTCATAGCCTGGCCAAAGTTCAACTATAGGTTGGCCACGGACAGAATGGTTTCTCATACAGTCTGTCTCAATATCTCCTGGACGCATTTCTCCTTTACCCAGGTGTGCTCTATTGGCATAAGGACTCCTGTATAGGAAAATGGAGGAGAAGCAATGCACTGACAGCCTCATTTCTAGGCTCATCAATGGGCACCTTTGCTTCTCCTGCAGCAATATCGTCAATATAAAAAGTGAATCTAATAACTAAAGCATTTCATTCTTGTGTTGCCCCTGAAAGATAGACGGACTTGGGAACAAACTTTTCACCACGACAGTACCCAAGATACAGAAGGAATCCAATTGATGGTTCATCTTGGTAGAATTGACCAAAGTCTGAATCATCAGTTTGAGGAACATTAAAATAGGAAACTGGGTAGTCCAAAATCATGTCTCCAGCACAAAAGTAACCAGATTCTGCTTGAGAGTTAAACATACGGGCGACTAATGCACAGGTATTGGACATCTCTCATGTGCAGGTTATCCAGGGCCAAGATACAGTATGGTGTGCTCGAGTCTAATCCTACATCAGGCAGTGCAGTCAGCACATTAATAACACTTCAGCTTAGTCCTTCAGACCGGTACCATATCTATGTATCTAGCGTAATGTTGTTGTGGCTGGTCTGGGTTTCAGCGGAAAGAGAGTCCTTATAAGATATGTTTGACCTCCTCTTGGTGTCACCCAGAGATGCCATTTGCTGTAGGGTGGAGGTACACAAGGTTCTTCTCCGAGTCTTTTTAGCTGCACTAGGTACCTGATGAACACTCAGCTGCTCCTTGTTTGGGCTAGGGGTTACACTTTCCAGGATTAAATCCGAACCCTCTAAAGACTGCACCGCAGAGCTTAAAGATTTCTGTTTAGCTGCCCTTGGAACCTGCTTGACAGTTATCTGCTCCTTGTTTGGAGAACAGCTTCCACTTTTCAGGATTGAATTAGAATTCCCTAAAGGTTGCACTGCAGAGCTTAATGATTTCCGCCTGTTGGTTCCCTCACTGCTGGTATTCTCCTGAACCCAGAACAACCCACTGGCACCAGAATCTCTGCGTAGCCTCATGCTGCGTCTGACCTTCTTTGTTCCAGCGTCCTGTAGAATCTCATCGATGGGCAGATATGGCTCATTAGTGAAGGCAATTGAATTTTCATCAGGGTGAGGTAACATGGTAGAAGGATCCTGAGTATGGATATTTGGTTCGGTGCTTTGACAAAATATGGCAGACTTGCTGAAGTTCCTCGAAGAACGTCTACCTTTTTTACCACCGGCTATGCCTGTGACTAATGGCAACTTAGGTGAGTGAGCTCTGTTTTCTACCAACACGTCGATCTCTGGTTTTCGGTCTTCAGCACGTGTCTCTGTAGTGGTGTGATCAGCATTCATAATGTTTTCTAAAAGATCTGGATTTGCAATGTGTGGCATGTCTGTGGTAGTTTGGGACACTCGCCTTCGCGTAGTTGAGCGCCTCTTTGATTTGTTTTGCAGCTTCGGTGCAGTCATGGTCTCGGTGGTGCCCTCATCTTCTGGGAAACTTTCACATGGCTCTGGTAAGTCTTCATCTTGTTTCACCTCCATGTCAGCAGATGACAAAAGAGATTCAGTGCTTGAGCTTACGTTCTCCACCTGCAGGACCAAATCAGCTGGTTCTGTGTGGCTTTGACCCTCTGTAAGTGATTCAGTTAGTTTGACTTCTAAGCCCTCTTGCTCAGGACAACTTCCATCTTCAGTAACATCTTCAGTCTTCAGAATTATGGGATCGGAAGAATTCAGAATTTCAGAAGGAACATTGCACTTCTGGACCTTCCCTCTGTCTTTCCGAATGCCTCTTCTTTTTGGGACGCTCTTCACAAATCCTTTATTTAGGGTACCACCTGTAAATAAAATCAAGTCCACCAGTTAAAAGAGGCCCACTAAAGCCAAGACTGTAAATATCTGTCACTTGGATCGTTCTGGAAGTAGGTTTTAGCACATGTAAACAATATACTGTAGAGCAGTGGTTCTCAACCTGTGTAACCTCAGGACCCACATTTGTCTTTAGTCATTAGATCGCCACCCAAGTTCCACTGCAATGGAATGCACGGAATTAGGGTACAACACAGTACAGGGCGGTCGTACGAGCTGTGGGTGGGAGGTGCGTTTGGGGTACCATTCAAATGAATATCAACCCAACACACCTCCAACACCGGAATGCACAGTAGGAGCGATTGCATGGTACTGTGTGTTAATTGCACGGTACTATGTGATGAGTGCACTGTACTAGTGTGAACAGGCCCTCAAAAACACTGACACAATCTGAACTGTGACGGAGCTCCATCCATATGTACATTGTATGTACAGCTCCCTAGTGTGCCCTGTAGAGCTTTTTGGGAGCCAGAATGTGATGTAATTCCAGTCCAGACACCTCTACAGGACACGTGAGGGAGTTGTAAGCAATGCATGCATATATGGAGCGTAGCGCCCGCACGGCCGTAGCCCCATCACACCTCAAGCTGACACTCAGCCCCGGGCAGCATATTTTGAAAGGCTGCTTGGCGTGAGAACTGACAGTGTTCCGCTAGGGGGGAGGCAGAGGAGCCTCTCACCTAGAAAAGTGGAAGGCATGCAGCGACCCACTGAACACGGGGATGCAACCCACTTTTGGGTTATGACCCACCAGTTGAGAACCAAGGCTGTAGAGTCAGTTTGGAATAGCAAGAAAGATTTTCATGCCTTACAATGCAATTGCAAAACGTGTTGACGGATCTCAAAACAGATCCATAATGAATTATGAGAGTGCGCACTGTATCCATAGCCCAAAATTATTCTTCAAAATTAATTAATTTAACCTCCCTGGCGGTCTGATTATTTCATTTTTTTTTTTCTATTTTTTTCGTTTTGTTTTAACTTTCAAATTTCCCGCCGGTTCCGGACGCTCGCAAGGGACGGAACCCGGAAGACGGATGCCGGCATCAGCGGGGCTCATGGACAAGGTAAGTAACTCTACACTGTAATCCCGAGTGTGGCTCGGGGTTACCGCATATGGTACTGAAAATTAACCCCGAGCCACACTCGGGAATACCGCCAGTGAGGTTAATAGTAGCTCATAAAAGTGAAAAGACTAAGTGAGGGATAGTGCATGAAATGACTGCATATAGCTGCACAGAAATGATTGCTTTGTAAACAAAGATCAGTGTGTAGGGCAAGGCCTTTCTGTAAAAGTAACTCATTATCGTTGTCATAAGAAGGAACTGAACGGTCACTTACCCAGAGACACGAGAGTAGAGGCAGGAGGTGTGGGGTGATACTCCGGCACCTCGACAATAGGACTCAGCAGTGGCTTCTTGGAGACAGTTTCTCGCTTCCCATACAAACATTTCTGGACAGACTTCTTAGGTCTCCCACGACTCTTCTTACCCTTAACCTGGGGAGCTTTCACCTATATAACAAAATGAATCAAATGTTATCAAATAACATCCATGTTCAAAAATATTTCATGTTCCCTCCTATGGCCTGAACGCATCTTTAGTTTACAACTGTTGTTGGAGATTCTACTTGAGGAGCACCGAAAAAGAATTTTCTGACCGAAAATTATTATTTTTTCTTACCTTTTTAAAATTGTATTTTTATTATATATTATATAAGAGAGTCCTAAAATCTCTTTTCCTGTAGCCTCTGTTGTAATGAACAGGAAGCCTCTATATTGAGAGTTCCTGTTCATTCATAACCTGTGGATATAGTATGTTTACCATGTCCACAATCATGAATGAACAGGAGGTATGTAGAGCACTTCCCATCCATTCATAATTAGGGACACAGTAAACAATTTTTTTTAACAAGGAGTTTTATTAGGTTTGCACATATTAAACAAATGTCCTCAATTATTTACACTCAGCGATCACTGACTTCTTGTACCCGCTCTCCATCCTGACACTCTGTCACAGGAGGCGGAGCCAGCAGTGCGGGGGAAAGCTTATCCACTCACTTGTGATCTCTCGTCTCGACTACTGTAACTCCCTCATTGGCCTACCTCTACACAGGCTATCCCATCTTTAGTCTATCATAAATGCTGCTGCCAGACTTATCCACCTAACCAACCGCTCAGTGTCTGCAACCACCCTCTGTCAATCCCTGCACTGGCTTCCAATAGCCCAAAGGGTAAAATTCAGAATATTAAGAACCACTTAAAAAGCCATCCACAACTCTGCCCCCGTCTATATCTCAAAACTTGTCTCCAAGTATCACCTTAAACGTCCCCTACGCTCCTCCCATGCTCTCAAGCTCCCTTGTCAACTCCTCCCAAGCTCGACTCCAGGACTTCACCAGAGTCTCCCCCGTTCTGTGCAACTCATTACCCCAACCTGTCCGCCTATCTCCTATACTCTGTCTACCTTTAGGCGATCCCTTAAGAGTCACGTGGTTGGAGAAGTGACATCACTGCTTGTCTGGGTCACAAATACCAGTCATTTTAGTTCTGGCTGGTGAGAAGGACCAGCGGGGGAAGAGATTGAAAATATTTTCCTAAGGGATGGCTTTCAGTGCTTTAGGCGTGCACGCTGTTCATCTGCCCATGAGTAGTAACAACCTTATCAGTTACAGAAAGCGACTCATATATACATGTCCTACAATAACCTTCCAAATCATATATCTTAGCACACAGGTTTCCTCACATGTCGGGACAGCTAAGCCTTGGGAGTTCCATCAGTCCATTTTTAACCTATAATTAGACAGATCAAAAATGGACTGCAATGTATCCCTATGGGCGTCCAGATGTATATGGATCTGCAGCCTGTTACATCCTGGTCTGTTCAGCTTTGTCAGACCGAATACATGAATGGAAAGGAACAAATGTAAGCAGATATAAATAGATGCAAATCCAGTTACATCGGGCTGCCCATGGGGATTACATGGGTGTTCTTCCTCTAACACGACATATCTCCTCTTCTGGAAGTGTAAATACCATCAGTGCTGGCCCAGCTACTCTGCCCCTTCCTTTTATGTACCAGCTAGGAAGAGGAACAGGAACTATAGAGAAGGGGTAGGCAACCTCAGCAGTCCCAACTGTTGTGGAACTACAGGTCCTATGAAGTACTCCAAGATTCTGGCAGCCACAGGCATGACTGCATTTGTAGCTTCATGACTGCTGGAGTACCGAGGTTGCCTACCCCCGTCACTTCAGTGAGGGCTCTGGGGCTGCTGAAACTAGAGCTGCAACAGTTAATCGATTAAGTCGATTAAAATCGACGATTGAAAACACCCATCCAAGATAGTGGCACCCATCTCAAGAGTCCAGTCACACAATATCCAGTGCGTCCCAGTGCAGTTTGCAGGGGATCCAGTGCAGGGGGGTGTCGGCGCCATTCATGTCAATGGCACTGCAGACATGCTCCCCTGCCCGCAGTGCGATCGCTCACACCAGAGCACGAGGTATAGGAATACCCTCTGTTCCATTGCAGTGCGATCTGAAAAAAATTGTACATGCAGCATTTTTTTCAGATCGCACAGCACTGGAGGGTGTCTGCAGTGCCATTGACATGAATGGCAGCGACACACCCCCCCTCCCGCCCCAGGACATGGCCCGGCTTCATGTATGCGATCCAGGCGCGAACTGCACAGGGACGCACTGGATATGGTGCGACTGGGCACTCAGGGTTTTTGCCTACAGAAGGCCACTGGCACGACACCCCGAAGCACGATGGCATTTGTAGCTTTACCACTGCTGGAGTACCAAGGTTGCCTACCCCTGTCACTTCACCGACTGCTCTGGGGCTGCTAAGATCCCATCCAAGGCCCCCAAGCAGCAGTCACAGGGCTCTTGCCTACAGAAAGAAGGCTGACACATAGATAAAATACATTAAATGCACAAATGTTGAGAAGATTTTGTTGAAGCGAATGGGGTGCGGGATTGACTGAAACATATACATCAATGTATTTAGGAGGACTGGCCCCTGATGCGCTCACACATGCTTTTTTATTTGTTGACCGAATTACTTGGCCAGTAATGCTCCATAGATTCTTTGTACATCACTTGTAGATGCTCGAAGATTGCCTTGTAATGCATTCTCTTAAATACTGTGGATTAGGACGAGTGCACTAGGGACAAAGATCTTTCAACAGGTCCTATATAAAACATAACCTTCCTGGGATGGTTGCAGGAGATCTGTACATGGTGGGCACAGTAAGGAACAGACTGTTTGTACAGCTAGAACTAATATCACATACGTTGATATTGGAAGGACAAATCCAGATTATACAATGCACTATATATTTATCTATTTCTAGAAGTAATACTCCAATTCCACACGTATCGTTTTACCTGTACTTTCTTGATGACATGCTTTCTGCTTCTTTTGGAAGAAGGTTTGGCGGATGTGGTCACTTGAACTTTGCTGGTGTCAGCAGTTTGCGTGTTGTCACTCGTAGGGGGGTCTTCTGGGCTGCAAGCCTGCTGAGGGGAAGCAAAGCACTTAGATCCTGGTCTCAGAGACATCTCTTAACCAGGTTTCTTCTACAATTATAGATCAAATCAATGAGTGTTCTGTGGGGAATGTAATTAGGATCACCGTAATGAAAGTGAACCTTCCATGCCAAATGGAAGGACTGCTTTTGCTGCAAGCCTCCCAACACAAATGGCTTCAAAAAAAGCCATTTGTAAACGGATCACACGGTTCTCTGCTGCAGTTCAGCAATACACCAGGTTCAATTTCATCCCCACAGGCTGTGACTGGATGAAGAGCATCAAACAAATACATTAGGTCATCTCTCTGCACTCTCCTCCTGTCAGCTTGTTTTTTGTCTGCACATGTGAGCCTCAAGCACTGGCCTTCCCAGTCTGAGTGCTCCTGTATGGGGACAGGAGGCTAAATTCAGGGGCGAGGGAGACACACATATAAAACACTGCAAACATTTCCAGTTGGGCACAAAATCCTTGATTTAAATGCATTGTTTATACATACACTTTGTGTCCACCAAATGCCTTTGCGAACCCAGATATCATCACTGTGCTGCACATGACCTGTACAGGGAACAGAGCTGTGGGAGGGACCCAGTAGGCTTCACCCACTATAGACTGCCAGCAGAAAAACTACAGGAGGGGGCAGCGACCAGACCAGTCACCCTGCACAAGGAGAGAGAGCAGCAGTGAGCGGTCTTTATTACAGGAGGGGGCGGAGACAAGACCAGTCACCCTGCACAAGGAGAGAGAGGTCTTTATTACAGGAACTCCAAGTCTCACACTGGATTACTGCACAGATCTGGAATACACAAAGCTCACCAAGATTCAAGTAAGAATACACATGGCTCTTGTATGAGGACAATATTGCCTTCTCTTGGAGTTCATTATTGAAATGCATTTAATTACTTCCTAAGAGATAACTGCATTCACTGGTGTTTCTAAAATATCTGCAAGGCGTTTAGGGTTTAACAACACTGACAAATATCAGATCTAGCTTCTATGCAGCATACATGTAATGTATCATGTCACTCGTGATAAGGAATCTATTAGAGAAAAGAATTATATGGAGGGTGACACATACAAACCAGGAATGCTCAGTGAAGTGTTACCTTGCTCCTATTGGAGAATCGGGTCGCTCTACTCTTAGCTGGAACAGTATCAGGCTCAAAGACGATGAAGGATTCTGGAATATATCAAAATACAATATTCTAGACTGAGCAACAGATCGAGAAAAGCAAAATGCAGGAACAAGCTATTGATAAGCACCAGAAGCTAAAGTCGCTAAAGTCACTAACGACACCCCCACGACAATTCCTAGTCGCCGCTCTGTGACTTGGACCCCGTTCACATTGAGCGATTTATTGCGCGGTAATTCCCGCGATATCGCTGCAATTTACCGCGCGATATCGCTCTCCAATGCTTCTCAATGGGGCAAAGGGTCCTGCTGTCGCGGGTCGTGTGTCGCTACAGCAGGACCCTTCTGGGTCCTGCTGTAGCGAATCACGGATTTAGCCGCGATTCAAGCTTGCTCAATGCAATCGCGCGATTTGCGAACCGCTCAATGTGAACGGTCCCTTAAAGTAAAACAAGATGTCACCAGCACACCACAGGAGAATGTTCCAGTGAAAGTCTTTATTAGCGCATATTGTCAAAATTAAAGCAATGTTTGGGAGCCACACAGGTCCCCTTCATCAGGATCAGTATGATACGAGATAATACCAAGCCTGATGAAAGGGCCCTGTGTGGCCCTGAAACATTGCTTTTTATTGTGTGTCAATAAAAAGACTTTTGTTAGAACATGGTCCTGCTGCTCTTCTGACCAGTGCGGCGTTATCCGTGGTCACTTCTGCACACACTCAAAGGGCTCTCTTGTAAGGAGTTCGACGGGACATATTCTGAACTCTGTGACTAGGAACCTATTAACATGGGGCGTTCTAGGATTCCAGCAGCGGGAATCCCAGATGTCCCTGTTCAGATGCAGTCACCGTACCCATTAAAGTAAACACGGGAAGCAGGCGACAGCGGCCGCATCTGTGTGGTTTGGAATAGATGAACGTCACTGCATGCATCTATTCTGTGTCCAGTAGTAAGCATCTATCTTAAACTGCATGTAATGGTACCATGTATGATTACATACGGACAGCTGCATCTGAAGGGGACATCTGGCATTCCTGCCGCAGGAATCTGTAGGTTCTTGGTGCAGCAATCCCAGAACTCCCTGTGTGAACGGAGACTAAAGCTGGCCATACACCTATATATTATCTGCAGATTTTCTATGGTCAGATGGGAAAAGTGCAACAGATTCCTCCATCTACGCTAAGCTGTGTGGATGGAGGAATCTCCCGCTGGGCCAAGCTTCAGTATATTGCTAGTCAGCCCCACTGGCTCTCAAAATACCTGTACAATCTGATTGGATGCCGGCATTGGTCAGGTGTTTTAATAGCCAGCGGGGCCAACCAGCAAGATACTGAAGCTTGGCCCAGCGGGAGATTCCTCCATCCACACAGTTTAGCGTAGATGGAGGAATCTGTTGCACTTTTCCCATCTGACCATAGAAAGTCTGCAGATCATTTATAGGCGTATGGCCAGCTTAGAAATGGTCACAGAGGTCGGATGAGAAGTAAAAGGAGTTTGTGAACACTTCCCATAAACAAACAATTTTTCTTGGGGACAGATCCAATGAATGCCAGATACAACTTTGCCCCAAGTTGTCATGCTCATGAAGATACATTTATAACAATAGCGATTTGATAAAGCAGGGGGCATGAAGAGGCAGAAGCATGGCACCACACCCATGAATAATTAAACCACAAAAAAAAATTAGGGGCTTTCGAGGTGCCAAGAACTGAATGAGAATATCTCAAATTAAATTTTTTATTGATATAAATTAAAATGTTTGCAAAAACAAAAATTGCCATGTGTCCATTGTGTTTGTTATGATCAAATATACAACAACATACAGTTGACTGCATCAATATAACAAATAAGGTACTTAATTGTACAGACTCAACACGTTTCGCGGTATTGCTTCCTTCAGGGCCTGTTCACACGACGTCCGTTTTCAGTGCTGACCTGATCCGTACGCTCCTGCACTAAATATGCATCCCAATGTATCCCTATGTGTTTTATGGGCTACAGTTCTCACGTGCGCAGTCCGTTCAGGTTACGACAGAAAAATACTGCATGTCACATTTTGTACGGTCAGGAAACGCAAAACACACCAAAAACGCACTGCACTGCAGCCAACATACTGACAGCCCCACTCCAGCAAAAAAAATTTAAAAAAAAGATTTTTTTTTTTAACTGGAATGCATCAAAACACATAGCATCGCGTCTGCTGATCCGCACCTGAAACTCATGTGAACAGGCCCTCAGAGTTCTGACAGTTCATGGCTATTAGATCATCCAACACTCGCAAATCACGGGAGCGGAAGGATGGGAGAGGAGGGATAGTAAGGCGAAGGTAAGGCAGGAGACCTGGTAACGGTACGCACAATGGTCCAGTAGAGGCTTTCCAGGGAGATCAAATAGACAGGAACCCACTTTGCATCCAGTGTCTGAGTACAGACTCTCAGAGTAGGATTTCGGCCGTTCAGACAATTCAGAATCACCATTTGGTTGCTGAACACAACTTCTTCACTCCCAGCTGGGGGAAGGTGGATGCTTGCGGACTCCATTACCGACAGGACCCACACAAACACAAAAAGAAGACACCCTTTTGATCAACACTGTGTGGGAGTGGGGAAGTTGTATTCAACAAATAAATGGCGATTCTGAATTGTCTGAACGGCTGAAATCCTTCTCGGAGAGTCTGTACTCAGACACTGGATGCAAAGTGGGTTCCTGTCAATTTGATCTCCTTGGAAAGCCCCTACTGGAACATTGTACGTTACCAGCTCTCCTGCCTTACCTTCGCCTTACTATCCCTCCGCTCCCGTGATTTGCGAGTGTTGGTTAATTTAATAGCCATGAGCTATCAGGACTCTTGAGGAAGCAATACCAAAAATAGCGTTGAGTCTGTACAATTAAGTACATTATTTGTTATATTGATGCAGCCAACTGTGCATGTTGTATATTTGATCGCAAACAACAAAAATGGACACATGGCAATTTTTGTTTTTACAAACATTTTAATGAATCTTTATATCAATAAAATATGGAATTGTAGCTACATATTGTCATTCAGTTCTTGGCACCTCGAAAGCCCCAAGTTGTTTTTTATGGTCATGAAGATACATTGTCCAAACATTCCAGACCCAAGATGGAGGTGCCTCAAACATTCAGGGACCTAATTTCATATATTGGCTGCCTGCCCTAAGAGACAACCAACCATTCTGGCAGGTGGTAGACAATCCTGTACAATCATTTGCAAATTCAGCCGTCTCTTAATTGCTCCACCTACTTGTTAGATCTACCACCCCCCCCATTGTGACTAAAGATTCCAGAAAGGTACCTCTGCATGTACTAAATGGCGCTAGATGCTTAACCACTTCCAGCGGGGTCAAGTAAATGTACGTCCTCCGCTGGAAGTGGTTATACCAAGGACACGGCTGCTGCTGCCGTGTTCTTGGTACCGTTGTAAACAGCTGGCGATTGCTGTTTTCATCAGGTTCTTTGCGGTCCCTAGGTGACATTAGGGATCTGAAAGACTCCTGATGTCTCCATAAAGAGGACCTGTCACATTATAAAATTTGGAAAAATTAAAACGGATGAACAAAAAAAAATGTAAAATGCAAAAAAAAATTTTTAAAGTCCCCCGCCCCCCACGTGCACGCACATACAACCCAAGCACCCATTGGATGCACCTACTCGCAAAAACGAAAATTGCGCCACATATGTTACATATCGTCGCGAGCGTCGGAGTAAGAGCAAAAATTCTCGATCCATCAATCACTGGTAACACTAAACTGATAAGCATTAAAAGCATTTAAAGCGTCGCCTATGGGAAATTTGGGTTATTGTAGGTTTTTTTTTGCAGTTTCACGAGCGCATGCAATTTTAAGGCTTGACATGTTTGGTAATCTGTAAAAAATAAGTCAAGGCAACTGGACTTGCTGTAAGTGTGGGAAGTGAGCGGACGGTGGTATGTGTTCACTCACTTACCGATCAATAGAGCCGACCTGTGACAGCTCCATTATCACAGGTCGGCTTGAATTATGGGAATGAGTGTTTTTCACTCAGCCCATAATTCTCCTTAAATTCAGGCTGCATACCTGTAGGCCATGTTGATCCCCCTGAAGGCTGTCCAACAAAAAACCCAATTCACAGCTTTTCCCCAGTCTTGCCCTGTTTCCAGGACGCTACAGCCGTTGGATCCTATTCCCTCACATCACAGGAAGGTGGGCCGAAACATGCGCAGGCCAAACATGCGCAGTGTGCGCTCTCCCCTCCTCTAGCATCAGCAGCTGAGCTCAGCGTTGCTGCTACAGGAAGTAGTAGATCCCATCGCATTCCCGAACGGATATAGCCCAAACGAGAAACTGGGGGGTGCCGAAAGTGACCACGGATGCCTGCGCACTTCAAATGCAAACTACCATAAAGTCACTTGCACTCCGTTTGTAGATAGCAGTCAATCTCCTTTATTGACTGAACATGTCACAATGGCTGTAGCTTCCTGGAAACAGCCCGAGATAGGGGACCAACATGGCCTACAAGTATGCAACTTAAAGCAACACAAAACCCTCAGCTTTTCTCCTCGTACACATCTACACAATGAACATTCTCCAAAGACACATTTATTCATGTTTTAAAATAAAAATTCTAACTACTTTAATCCCTTTAGAAAGTCTGCTGTGCTCGCTCCTGTGTCTCTTATCTCCCCTTACACTTCCTGTCCCTTAGTAAGAGCCGTGCATGTTGATTCTGGTCACGTGCGCATCTTTCTTTGCCTACAACTGCCATGAGGCCGTTTACAACAATCTACACAGAAAAACAACTATTTCAGATGTAGGAGCCGGCTCCTCTGTGACCAGATTCAGCATGTGAGCAGCACATATCAGCAGATATTAGTGTAGGAAAGCTGAAGAAATCCCAGTTCCTTGCAGAGTCTAGAGGGGAGGAGTTGTGGGCGGAGAGTGAGAAGACACGCCCCCAGCATGTTGTAGTCCTTCACATGAACCAGCACAGAGGGTGTCTGTGAAGGTTCCCATTCATCCAGGTCATGGTATATCTGTAAAAAATAAGTCCAGGCAACTGGACTTGCTGTATTTTCTTGAAGACGTTTTACTGGTCATCCGACCACCTTTCTCAATTCTGAATTGACTTATTTTTTACAGATACAGCACAGAGGGTGGCTACTTTTCAGCTCCCATACGGACCATAGAGACGAAAAGTAGCCACAATATGGCAGGAGGTTGTGGCTGGAGGAAAATAAACAGATTTTGGAGCATTTAGAGCTGAACAATGACAAAAAAGGGTACACAGTCATTGATTATTTATATAGTAGAAGTTATTTTTATTATTTAATCTCAGAGTTTAAGAGATTCCTTAACAACACGGTGTATTTACATCTACTGGGATGTCTATACAAAGAATGATCCTGCTTGGAGTATAAGGTAATTATGCATAGTATATCAATCATTTACATATCTCTAGCTTTACTACCGTAATCCTTGGCCAAACTTATCGGCATCTTATTTACCGTTCGCAATCTCTGTATCCAGTGCAGGAGCAGCAGAATTCTCTGGAAAGTCATGAGAAATGAGTAGATTTTCATCTTCCTCGTGGTGGTTATGTTCCTCGGTCACATCTTCCAGCTCCTCAGTGGGCAAAACCTGATCCTCCTTACCTGAAAGCAAGCAAAGTCATATCCATCAAGAGAAAGGTCGCACTTGCACTGAACCACACGCCACCCCCCCACCGGACACTAGATGTTTTCCATGTGGACAGGTATAGGTGCTGATGCAGAGTATTTGAGCACTTATGAGGAGAGAGCATGGAGCCGGCTTCCCGGCCAATCAGGAAGCCGGGCGCCACGTCATAACAGCGCCCGGCTTCCTGATTGGCCAGAAAGGCGGCTCCATGCTTTCTCGTCACCTGGTGACGAGAAGCACGGGGACGGCTTTCCTGCTAACTGGGAAGCCGGGTGGCGAGTCTTTACACGCCGCCTGGCTTTGTGAATGGCACTTCCGGTATCGGCGAGTACATTAAAAAAAATTAAAATATCGGTACTCGATACCGAAATCGGTGCATCCCTAATTATTATTATTATATATGATAGACTACAATCTCAATACAAATTAGTAAACTAAACCTGAGAGTGTAGTCCATCTCGGGAGCGAGCTTGGATCGGTGACCACATTACAACACACAGGGACCATGGGGAACAAAAGTAGCCCCCCTCCAGAAGGAAGGACAGTGTCAGCACCAATTCAGAGATGGTTTGAGGATCTACAGCCCAGTGATACACAAATAAGATGCATTGTTGTTAATCGGTAAGGTACCCGAATGCATTTTTAAGATTTAGCCCTCGTTCACACCTGACCGTTTTGTAGCGCGTTCTACGCTCGACGAACGCTCTACAAAACGGTAAAAAAAATAAATTGCATTGTAGTCAATGGTCTCGTTCCCACTTTGCCGTATTTCCGCCCGTCGCGACCATCGCGCGATACCGAAGGCTACTTGGCTGTATGGAAAACGCCCTACAAAACGGGCCACGCCTGAAAAGGTCCAGGTACTACTTTGGGCCGTTTTGTAGGGCATTTTCCATTGGGATACAGCCAAGTAGCCTTCGGAATCGCGCGATGGTCGCGCAACTTTTTTACCGCGAATCGCGGTAAAAAAACCGCGCGACAGACGCGCTTATGCAATACGCCTAGGTGTGAACGAGGGCTATAAGGAGAACTATGAGGTGAGTGCTTTTCACTCGCCTCTTAGTTCTAGCCGACCTGTGACAATGAGACTGTCACAGGTCAGCTTAGTAGATCGGGAAGACATACCGTCGCTCGCTCACCTCTCGATCCTGTCACGGCTCTCTGCCGTGACAGGGGAGGGGCTGGATTCCACCCTCTGATCCGCCAGCGCTGACCGGCGGAACGGACGGGGGAGGGGGCGGGTACAGCTGGCTCTGCCTCTAGATAGGCAGAGCCAGCTGTCAGTCACGCAGATGGGCGGATCCAGACATAGTTGTCGGGATCTGCTTCAGCTGCGGCGTCTCAGTATACCGCGAGCAGCAGCTTGCAGTATACTGAGCCTAAGGTGACGGGAGGACGCTAGTTTGTGTCCTCCCGTTACCCTAAGGAGAACTATGGGGAAAAGCCTTAACCCCATAGTTCTCCTTTAACTCCTGAGTTTAGCGTCACTTTAAAGATCAAGTGCTTATTTTAAGTGAACCTACAATTTGCCCATGCAGGATAAAGCAAAAAAGGTACACTTTAACGTCCCCCCTCCCCAACAGCATATACTGAAATACCTTTCTCTCCTCTGTTTCCAAAAGAGGACAGCACTGTGTAAGCTCAAGCTTGGTGTCAGTTCAGAGCTTACACGTGGGTAACCATTTCCCATCCCTCATGTGACAGTGATGGGCCAATCACCAACGCTGTCAAATGGAGTCACCTGAAACTCCATAGCTAGAAGTACCTGGTATTCTCTTTGATAGATGTCAAATGTCATGGTGACTGGACCAGTGTCTACAGAAGCATATTTGTAACAATCATTGAGCAAAATCTAGGACATTCTTGTCAACCAGGAAAAAAAAGAAAAACCTAAAATGAATAAATTGTAGGATACCTGGTGATGACAGTAACATAGTTGAGTCTTTGCTTGGAGATCCAGTATCAAAACAAAGTGAAAGTGGTTGAAAGGTATCCTCCTAAAGCAGAAAACAAGTACACAATGTAAAAATATGTCATAAATTTGCAACTTAGCTCCGTTAATAGAAAACACACATTTACAGCATTTTTATTATCCATCACATTGCACAGATTTGGAGCAGGTATTGACTGTCACATGGCAGCCAAAAGGAAGTGCTGGTTTCAAGTGAACATATGCTCTGCCCATGCAGCGTAACACACTGCCCGGCTTACTGATTAGTCGGGAAGCTGGCTCCATGCTTCCTCATCACCTGGTGACGGGGAAGGGGGGGCACATGAAGACGGCTTCCCTGCTAATTGAGAAGCCAGGTGGTGAGTCATTACATGCCGCACGGCTTTCTTTATGGGACTGCCAGTATCGGCGAGTACAGAAAAAAATAATATCGGAACTCGTATTCGGTACTGAAAAACCGGTATCGTTGCATCCCGATTGGCATATGGTGTGGAGATAAAGGTAGGCTGGATGTGAAAAACAGAAGGGGAGGCGAGAGTGAACTTGTAGTTTGTAGCCCTCAGATACCATCTCCTGCATCCAAGATATCAATTGTTTAAGGGTCCACAAAAGGTAAACATCCCACCTCCCCACTCTGCAAAGTTAGAATGTGCTTCAAGCGGAGAAAGACTTATTAGTAATACATGTTGTCAATGGACCATGTTATCAATAGCTGCAGGCCCAGCTTTCTCTACACTGCTTCCCCAAATGGGAATGGGCACTCTTGGAGGTTACTACTTCATTTTGTAGCGCTTCCCTTTGTGCGAGTAAGCCTGGTGACCAGACATGTTTTATTTGTATGCAGGCATGTTCTTTTTCATGGCTATTGCAATCCTGAAACAACGTGCTCGCCGGGGACGTCGTTTTGGGTGCACCCACCCTTGAAGCTAAGAGAATGGAAGGCTCAATGTTAAATAATCTATAAAAAGGTGTTTTACTCGCCACAGTGCTCCTTTTGTTCCCTTCTTATCCGATGAAAGACAGGAAAAAAAACTTTGCTGCATGGACATGCATTTTTTTTCTATAATCAGGGTGCCCGGGGTCATGCAATTTAGGTGACTCCTCCCCATACCCCACAAATTGGTCAGTGTTGATATCCATTTGCACTATGCTATCCACACTGCTCACACCTAGTCCCCTCCTCAACTTACAAGTCCAAGTTGATGAGATCATCAAATCTGCTCCCAAGCCTCTCTTATTTTCAATCTGGCCCGGTCCAAGGCGTTTCGTTATGCTTTTGACCCATTCCGGTGCAGAAAAAATGTGACATGCAGTATTTTTTTCCCCCTGCACCAGAACGGAATGCACTGGTATGAACAGAGCCCAGAAATACATTGGGATGCGTTTTGGGTGCGGAAGAAAAACGTGACAGTCTGGGCCTGATCCAGACTACTCTACAACACACACACACGGTCCATGGGGAACAAAAGTAGCCACCCTCCAGAAGGAAGGACATTGTCAGCAACAATTCAGAGATGATTGGAGGATCTACAGCCGAGTGATACACAAATAAGATACATTATTGTTAATAGTTAAGGGACTCGAATGTATTTTTTCCGGTATCTGCATGCGGGTGCACGCCGTCCATAGACTTACCTTACGTCTCTCCTTGTCTCCCGGCCGAAAATCCGAATCCACCCGCCCCAAGATGCTTTGCGGCCGCCCGAGCAGTTCGGCTTTTCGGGCGGAATGCGCGGCGAATACAGGGGTTAAGTTTAAACTGCTTTTAACGCAGTTTAAAAAAAAATTTTTTTGAATATATCGACTGCTTGCTTGCTTTTTTGTGTATACATACATATATATATACACAAAAAAACAAAACGGAGGGTTTAGAAACCCTTTAAGTCATGCATGCTTCACCCAACCATAAGAAAATGTCTTATTGGTCAGGAGCAGGCCCCAACATCAACTCCTACTGGGGCAGATGTGATTGGACAATTGTGTGCTCAGTTATTGGCCCCGGAGATGGGATGGGTGTCGCTGTCCCACTTGTGCCATAGACCCCAGACTCCCTACATTACTACAGGACTTGGCAGTGATGTAGAGGTCAGAGGATGAAGTTAGCATGGGACAAGGGACACAGGCATCAGACACTCCTGGAGGCATCAAAGCTTTCCAAAGCAGCAGTGCTGGAATGGAGGAGAGGTAAGAGAAACAGGCTGCTGGAAAGGTGTTCTACTGCAGGGACCTGCTAGATTCAAACATTCAGAGATCTGAAAGGGTAAAGAGTCCAAGTAACATCATTGCTGCATGCACTCACTTCATCTATGCAGTCAAAATCCGGCTGTGCTAGTGGTTGACATGGGCTCTGGTGGTTGGCCTCTTGTGTAGTTGGTGTGGCAGTATCCGATGCGTGCTGGCGGTACGGTGTACTTCCTTTCCGTAGAGGCGTGTTTGCAGGAAGTGTCTTATCAAACAACTCTGGACTCAGCTCTCTTCCAAATGTCACCCTTTTCTTCACAGAATCATTGACTGTTTTTTTGAACAGTGTATTGTTCTCTAAAAGGAAAAAAAAAATATACCACCACATGAAATATCTACGTCGATTTAAGAGCACATTTGCAAAGCGCAGCCTACCAAGTGTTTGATGTGTTTTATCAAAGTCTACATTCTCTCCAAGGTGGAATTCCTGCCAATATCTTTTTAGTTTAGGTTGTAGAAAGTTTCTGTGGCTGTACGAATCCCTCCTGGAGAGATTACCCATCATTACTGGCGCCAGTGAAGGGAATTCCTCCCCAATGGACATACAAGGGTTCTGCTGGCATTTCTCTTTAATTGAAGCGGACCTTTTCCCCTCAAAACCTAAAAATCAAATCGGCATGCAGCTCTGTATCTTGAATAGTAAACACTAGGGATACACCGATACTAGTATCGGTAGCGATACCGAGTATTTGGGCGAGTACTCGTATACGCCCAAATGCTCCTGATGCCTAAACTTCCAGTATCAGGAAGCTGGGCAGCAAGTCATTACATGCTGCCCGGCTTCCTTATTGTCCAGGAAACAGTCTCCATGCTCTCTCGTCACCAGGGAGCTGGCTTCCCGGCTAATCAGGAAATTACTCACCCCCCGGCTTCCTGATTGGCCAGGAAGACGGCTCCATGCTCCCTCATCACTTGGTGACGAGGGAGCCTGAACCCGGCTTCCCAGCCACTTAGAAAGCGGCAGCATTTAATAACTCATGCTTCCTGACTGGCCAGCTTCTCAGCCAATCAGGAAGCTAGGCGGTGAGTCATTACCCACCCCCCAGCTTCCTGATTAGCCAGAAATCCAGCTTCATGCTCCCTCGTCACCTGGAGATGGCTTCCATGCTAATCAGGAAGCCGGGTGGCGAGCCATTACATGCTGCCTGACTTCCTTAAAAGGGGAATTATGAGGAGAGTGATTTTCACTCAGCCTGATAATCTGAGCCGATCTGTCACAATTAAACTGTCACAGGTTGGCTCAGTAGATCAGGAAGTGAGCGAACCCATACCGTCGCTCACTTCTCAATACTGTGTCGGCAGAGAGCAGTGACTGTCACTTACGGCTCCCTGCAGGGATTACCCCTCCAGCGCTGCCTGGCGGAACGGACGGGGGAGGGGGCGGACACAGCTGCCTCTGCCTCTAGATAGGCAGAGCCAGCTGTCACTCACGCAGCTGGGTGATCCAGACAGTATTGCTGGGATCCATTCCGGCGTCTCAGTATACCGCGAGCTATACTGAGCTTTGGGTCACAGGAGAATGCTAGTTTGTGTTCTCCCGTGACCCTTAGGAGAACTATGGGGAAAAGCCCTGACCCCATAGTTCTCCTTTAATGGGACTTGGAAAAACCGGTATCTGTTTAATTAAATACCTTCCAGTCAATTGTTAAAATGAATGGTAATTTTTTTAAATAAAAACTTGCAAATATGTGTTACGTCTGGGTTTTCAGAGGCACTGGTGATGTAGCCATGGCCTCTCAGCTGCCCCGAGAAGGCTACGTCACCAGTGCCCTCCTCCAATGAACTCTCTTGGGTAAGCTGCGAGATTTGAGAACTCCTGCAAGATCTCAGGGAGAAAGCCCATTTTTGTGTGTTCCCTATTTGTGCAACTAACAGATAGCAGCTCCTGGCTTTGCGCATGTGCCGTAGGTGATCTAGCGCGTTATTTTTTTTAATACATTGCCGTGGGTTCAGCAACGCGTCAGACGGCGTAATGACACTCATGCTGCTAAAGTCATGGCAATGTATTAACAATAACAAAAACTATAAAAGATTTCATACAGTGGGTGATCTGGCTCAGACATAATGGTGGGTGGGTGGGCCGGCCACCGATGAAGTCTAGTTTTAAAATGGCAGTGCAGGTTTCCCTAGGAGGGTTCAACAGAGCAATTGGACATGGAAAGTAACAAGTATATTTATTTTCCTATATTAATGTCACCAGTGCTGGCCAGTTAATACAAGTTGGGCTCCACTTTAAAGAACTCCTCCAGTTAAACATTTTCTTAACCCTTGCAGAGGGGCCACTCCCACATTGCATGAGTTAGGTGTTCGTTTTTGTCTAGAGTCAAACAAATTTATACTCACCCAAAACTTTGAGCTGGCTGTGACATTGTTCCCTCAGCCTGACTCCTCTGCTGCAGCGATGGTATGTCCCTTGGCAACCTCAAGTCCTAAACACTGTATTGGACGTGATGACTCAAGGATCCTTAAACTGCTGCAGCGGAGGGGGAGATACGCTCCAGGGACCGGTCTATGAGCCAGTTCGGAGGATTGGCGAGCATAACTTTTTTTTTTTGACCCTGGGCAAAAACTAGCAGTTAACCCTTGCAGTGTGGGGGTATTCCCACTGCAAGGGTTAACAAAATGTTTAACCAGCATTCTGCTTTAAATACATAAAGACACAGACCTGCACATTCCTGATGCTGGAGAGGTATTATATTCTTTATTGGTAACATGGCACCAGGAAAAATAGAAGAGAATAAAAACAGGTCCTTAATCGTTGCCAATATACAAAAAGAACCAAACGTCCTGGTACAGTGGTACCTCAGTTAACGAACGCTTCTGTTCGCAAACAATGTGGTTCGCGAACAGGAAGTTCGGCAAAATATTGCTTGCGTTCGCGAACTCCACATCGGGTAACGAACACAACCGCAGCCATCTTCCCTGCTCCGACACTGGCCGTGGCTTCCTTTAGTCGAGATCGCGGTCTGGTCGCCACCAGAATCGTGGAATGAATTAAGTTCGTGGACCGAGGTACCGCTGTATATCTGAATCATGTATACATGTGGCCATAGCTTCATACAGCCCACAATAGCGTTATGGTTAATATTCAGTCTTAGGGGATAAAGCCGAACTCACCATTCTCTAATGGCTCTGACACCAAGAAGCACACTCTCTGATCTCCCAGTTCATCCTGCACAGGTAATACAGCAGAGATTATAGATGACAAATCTTTCTTAATACAGAACTTAAATGTTTAATTCACAGTAGTGTGTGTGTGTGTATGTGTATATAGGTCCATGAGTGTTCTCATTCTTAAGAGTACCTGTACCTTTGTACATTTCGGTCTCTCAGGAAGTCGTCCAAAAGCCTCTTGAATGATTCCAGATTAAATTGCAGAAATTACCGCTAGAGGCAGCGAGTTCCAGACCCTAACCGCGCGAACTGAGAAGAACACCCTTAATGTCGACCGATTCTTCAGGAACAGACTGAAATTTGCAGTGTAACATAGTAGGTAAGGCTGAATAAAGACATGGGTCCATCCAGTTCAACGTATGCATGTACTATCTATATTTGTTTTTATTTATTTATTTTATTTCTATCTAGTTCTAACACTTCTCATATCCCTGTATATTAAGTGAAAAAAGAAACTCATCAAGAAGTTTCTTGAATTTATTAAAGCGATCAACAGATACCGCCCGTGAAAGGGAATTTTACTACTCTCACACTAAAAAAAACCTCCTTTGATTTCTAAGATTAACCCCTCCTCCCCTCTTCTAGCCTTATGTTGTGTCCCCGGGTTCTCAATATAGTTTTTGGTTTGAACAGTTTGTTCCGAATATTGTCATCCCCATTGATGATTTTGAAGACTTCCATAAGGTCCCCTTTTAAATTTTGAATGCGGTCCTCATAACTCAGACCTTCCATCCCTTTCATTTTATAGCCCTTCGCTGAACTCTCTGCAGCTCGAGGACGTCTTTCTTGCGAGTTGGCGACCAGAACTGCACCGCATACTCTAGACAAGGCCAAACCAATGTTTTATAAAGTGGAAGTATTTCTCTTTGATCCCTTGCTACAATCCCTCTTAATACACGCCAGTATTCTGTTTGCTTTGCTGGCTGCTGCTGGCATTGCTTACTATTGCCCAATCTTTGATCTATGAGCACCCCCAGGTGTTTCTCCATGTTTGACTTCCCTGAAGTAGCATCCCCCAAGTAGAGGTTTGCGCATGTGTTCTTTGCTCCCATGTGCATAACCTTACATTTGTCAATATTAAATCGCATTTGCCCATGTAAATATCTCCCATTCCGAATTTACCGCTCTACACAGTTTCGTATCGTCCGCAAAAACTGAGAACGAGCTATTTAGTCCAATCTCTAGGTCGTGGATGAATCGGATGAACAGGATTGGTCCCAGGACTGAACCCTGGGGCACCCCACTCACAACCTTTGCCCGATTAGAAAATGACCCATTTATTACAACCCTCTGGATCTGTTCTTGCAGCCAACTTTCTATCCATTTACATAAATGTTCATCTAAACCAATAGACCTTAGTTTATGAAGTACACCTTTGTGGGGTACTCTGTCGAATGCTTAAGTAAAGTCCAGATATACCACGTCTACTGGTACTCCTCTGTCTAAATACTGACTTCCTCATAAAATGTTAATAGATTGGTCTGGCAAGAATGGTCCTTCATGAAACCATGTTGCAGTGGGTGCCGCTGTCAGCACCCTTGCAGCCAGCATCCCTCGATCAAATGATGGAAGGAGCCAGTTGGAAAATCCTCAAACGAACACTTCAAAGCTCTTTTCAGGTATTCTGACAGCAGCCGGTGTCAGAATACAAAAGAAACAGCGGGGATTCCTCGATCAATTCTCATAAGCATTTATGGAAGAATCTGTTCTATCATTTTTATTCAGTCCGTGAACGAAAATAAAAAAAATAGAACAGTGTATGGCCAGCTTAAGTGATTTGTAGAGGCTTTGCAAGGACACTCACCCTGGAGCTGCTGAACTCCTTCATGGAAGTTTTCTTCAATACAGGACGCAGGACAATGGGGCTGGAGAATGAGTGACAGTCAGGTTTGTGAGCCTCATTTATGCACAAAGTTTTCTTTGATTTTGGAGAACTGGGGAGATCTGCAAACATGACCTTCCTCTTCTGGCCTCTTGTACAACTTGGCACTGGCTGAGTCTCTTCAATCTGCACATCTACTGTACCACAGAGATAGAAAAACCACATGGAGCTTAAACTACAGTCTATAAGATGATGTCCTATTACGTAAACTGTACAACATAAAATACACACTGGGCCCCGGGTTGATGCAGATGGATATTTTGATATGGGTTTTGTAAAAAATGATGCATATTAGGGATGCACAGATACCGGTTTTTCGGTATCGAGTACCAATATTTTTTTCCGGTACCTGCTGTTACCGGAAGCCCCATTAAGGAAGCCTGGGCGGCGTGTAAAGATTCGCCACCCAGCTTCCCCATTAGCATGGAAGCCGTCTCCATGATCCCTCATCACCAGGTAACCTTTCGCGGAAACATGGAGCCGGCTTTCTGGCCAATCAGGAAGCCTGGGGGCGGGTAATGACTTGCTGCCCAACTTCCTGATACCGGAAGCTCGGGTATCGGGCAATGCATCGGAGAATTTGGGCGAGTATGAGTACTCGCCCAAATACTCGGTATCGGCAGAGATACTAGTATCGGTACATCCCTAACGTGTATATATACACTATTGTGAATGTACACAGTACATATCAATCTTTAACCCATGGGCAGGCAACCTCGGCAGTCCAGCTGTGCTGAAACTACAAATCCCACCATGCCTATTGCCTCTGGTGGTCATGGTTGTGGCGGTTAGTCTTGAAATGCCTTATAGGATTTGCAGGTTCACAATAGGTGGAATGCTGAGGTTACACACCCATGCTTTATACTGCAGTCAGTTAGGGATGATATTTCCATGGCTTCTGACCATACAGGTTTGCATTTTACTCATTGGACCACCCGATGATAGGCGCAGTGACTCAAACATGTAGCACCTTGAAAAAAAAATGTTAAAAAGCAGTCCACAGAAAGAACATGAAGCATATTTAGCTTATTTCCAGAGCAAAGAGACTGTCAGAGTGGTCAGTAAGGGCACGCTCATTGGCTTAAATGGATGGCAGTGTTAGTGCTCAGCTGTGAAGTCCAGGCACGGAATAAAATATGTTTTATTTGGCTAATAAAGATCATAAAAAGGCATTTTGTGGTGTTAGCCCTTAGACAAGGTTTATAATAACATGTTTATATTTAAAATGGACCTAGGGAGGGGTAATGTAAGGGCAATACTTAGAGGTATGCACCACCTCTCGCAGAGATCACAAAACTCCCCCAACCACACCTTTGTTAAAGCTGAAGTTTAATCTGCTTATATTATGCCTTCCCTGGTTCCTCCTCACCTCATCAATATAAACTATTAAATACAACCATTTAATATTATGTACATTTTAGAATCAAAGATATCATCCCAAGGTCTCTGTGCATCTTTCCTTGAAGGCAGACAATGGCTTGTGGGGGGTGGCTGGCAGCGTGCTGCACATTCCTCCCAGAAAACAAGATGCTGAGCCTCCATGAATAAAAAAAAATGAAATTGAACGAATGGAAAGGGATGGGCCAGGGACAGTCAGGTTGGGGAAATAACAGCTAGATGATGCCGGACGTCCTCCAGCCAGGACAACAAGGCAGGCTCTATCTAACATTGCTGTAGCTTCTAATGCACATTGTAAGGAGCTCACCGTGTGCAGTCAACAATCAAACAATTTCGGTCCAGGAGAGGAGCTGGTACAACTGCAAGACTGAAGAGAATTCAAAAAAAACAAAGGTTAAAGAGACTTCCACAACCCCCCCCCCCCCCTTCAAAAAAAACTCCCCTTGCAATGAGGCTGCCCCCGGCACCGCAAGAGTTAACAGCTTATTTCGTCTAGGGTACCTGTGTAAAGGTCTATGGGCCCTGCATTGTATGTGCCATAAGCAGGCCTGCCACTGCCAGAGCGTAGAGGGGAAAAGGCTCTGGGTGCCGGTCCTGAAGCCTAAGGCGAGCATGGAGGAGGCCAGTAAAAGTCCTTTTTCCCGGTACCCTAGACCTCAACGAGCAGTTAACCCTTCCAATCATCTCATCCTGAAATTCTAGTGACGGTGAGGAGGAGACTGAGAAAACGCTTGCCTGCAGCAGATGATGACATCTAAGCCTAGGCAAAGTCACTTTGCGAAGTTTCAGGACTGCTTTTTAAATAAAGATGCATCTTATCAAATAAACTCGGTTGCTATACATTGCGACATGTCAAGAATTTATTAATGCAGGGTTGTAAAAGTACCGAGGGGTCCATGAGTGTTTTATAAGGTTCATAACATGGGTAGGGTTTGCTCATTACGCACGTAGTGCGTTTCTTCCTTAGCGGAGCAGCGTGATAGCTGTGATATTCCCGTTTCAGACGTCTGCTAGTAGACGTTCACTAAAAACAATATCTCCGGGCAGCTTACATTTCAACTCATTATCTTGCAGCGTGCTGCCGCTCTTACTGCGATAAAAACCACTAAGGAACTGGCTACAAATCAGAATATAAATCATGAAAATAGAGCGCATCAACAATGTGGACATAAAGAAAAAATAACCTAAATTTCTTGAACGTGGACTTTTCAGCAAAAATAATACAGAGGATGAAACTCATCTGGATATGTTCAAGCTTAATATCGTAGACTATATTACCAGGTATACAAGTCACCGCTGAATCTGGCATCAGTCCCCATTATTTATGGGAGTATTTTCTGCCAGTGGTTGTTCAGGTTTATATGGTAAACTTCCTGCCCTGCATGACTCTGCCTGCAATACAGTCTCCCCCGCCGCTCTGCTTTCACCTGTGCCTCTGCTCCCAGCATGCAGTCAGTGTGGCAGGTGCTAGAACACCGCAGGTATCACAGATGCTAATGCACTTTACAACCAACTGCAAAGTGAAGATCATCATTAACAGAAACGTTTGTCATAAGGCTGGAATAAATGGCTGACTGGGATTGTGAAGCAGGGGCACAGTATGTACAATAGCAACAGGATACACTACACCTAAAATGTAATGTTAGCAGCTTACATTAGATCAGCCTTGCTCAGCCAGTGCGCCTCCTGAGGGGTGCATCAAATTTTGAGGTAATGGGACTGTGATGTGAAGGGGGCTCCTGATGTAAAACGGGAACTCTGATGTGAAGGGGGGACTCTTGATTTGAAGTAGGCACTTTGATGTAAAGGGGGAAATCTATTACATTTCAGACTGAGGTGCCTCAAGATTTTGCATACTGTTAGAGGGTGCCGTATTATAAGACGGCACTTAGATGTGAACACTTTTTTGCGTGTTTTTGCATGTGGCCCCCTTTAAAATCTATGACATTTTAGATTGGGGTGCCTTGAGATTGGGCATACGTTTAAACAGTGCCTTAACTTAAAAAAAAAAAATCAGATATAAAGAATTCGTCTTCGGAATCCATCCCCTCCCCTGTCACGGCAGAGGTGAGTGAAAAGCACTCACCTCATAGTTCTCCTTTAACTAGTAACAACAATGTATCTAGTTCCTCAGATCATCTCTGAATTGGTGCTGACACTGTCCTTCCTTCTGGAGGGGGGCTACTTTTGTTCCCCATGGTCCCTGTGTGTATTGTAAAATAGTTACCGCTCCAAGCTCACTCCTGTGATGGACTACAATCTCATGTTTAGTTTACTCATTTGTATTGAGATTGTAGTCCATCACAGGAGTGAGCTTGAAGCAGAGGTGTGTCTTCTGTTTGTAATCTTCTCTGGGTGCCTCTGTGTGTTGGAGCACGGAGTAGCTGTATGTCTAAAGGGGTCAATTCACAAAGCTTATTTTCTTCATTGCGGCCGTTATTTCATTGATAGCGCTTGTAATATAGTTGCTGTGTAAAGGTAGTCAATTCACACAACTCAATAACGCTTCTTATAGTGATAATATGCTTGAATAATATGCTTATCACTTATAGTGATAAAATATGCTTGAAATGCAATTCACAAAAGGAAAAGGTCCTTTTATCACTCGTTATTGAGACATAGATTTATCACCTCCTTCAGTGTGGTGTTATGACAGATTTCAGGCGTTATCTGATGGAACCTGAAATGGAACCTTTTTTCTTCATTTTCACATGGCTTAATGCTTTTGCGTACAAAAGAAGGCGGCGGCATGTAGTTGTAATTTCTACAGTTTTTATCTTTCTACAGATGTAGTTGATTTTTTTACAGTTTGAGGTTAGTGGCAAATCTCACATGACATGTAAAATCAAATGTCCCTGGACACTCTTCAGCGGGGTTGTAGAGCAAGTGGATTGTTCCAAGCAACATATTTAATATCAAGACATGCTTTATAGGTGGAAAGAATTGCTTGCCCTCCCTACACTGTCTGATTGTCAACAGATGTAGATCTAAATAAATGTAATGTTTCATATATTCATTCCCTTCAGAATTTTTTTTTTGTATTGTTATTTCTATATGATTTCTTCTCTATTAAATTTAAAATGAGTATGCATGTGGTGGATATGGAATATATTCCTTCCTTATATGTGGAATCCTTTTGTGTCGTGAAACTGAAAGTAACAGTCATCTAGGCATCTGCGCTTCACCCCTTCTGCTACCAAAATGCACCGCAAAAGTGTTGAAATAACACCCAAAACTTTATTTTATCACAGTAATAGATAAAATAAAGTCTGTGATGTTAAAATAACACTTGCTTAAAGAACGTTAAACTGTGTGTGCATTCACGATTCCGGCTATTGTGAATTGCATGTTTCAGCCAGTAAAATAAAGAGTGGTAAAATAAGGATAGATAAATTAACTTCTGCTCTCATAACGTGGAGCTTTGTGAATTGACCCCAAATGTGTGGTACTTGTGTTCCCCATGATGCCCCTGTGTGTTGTAAAGTCACAGGTCCAGGCTCCCTCCTGTGATGGACTACAATCTCATGTTTAGTTTACTAATTTGTACGGAGACTGTAGTCCATCACAGGAGTGAGCTTGGAGCGGTAACTACTTTACAACACACAGGGACATGATATCCCTTTGCACTATGCTATCCACACTGCTGACTGTTTTTGACCCATTCCGGTGCAGAGAAAATGTGACATGTAGTATTTTTTTTCCCCCTGCACTGGTATGAACAGAGCCCAGAAATCACTCAGAAATACGTTTTGGGTGCAGAAGAAAAACGTGACAGTCTGGGCCTGATCCAGACATGGTGTGAATGGGCCCTGAGACTACATGTTCCATAATTCCTAGCACCATCGCTACCTTGGAACCTGCTTTCGATTACTCCTTTAGGAGGAGCAGAGGTGTGTCATCTGTTTGCAATCTTTTCTGGGTGCCTCTGTGTGTTGGAGCACAGAGCAGCTGTATGTTTATGTGTGGTACTTGTGTTTACCATGATCCCTGTGTGTGTTGTAAAGTAGTCACCGCTCCAAGCTCACTTCTGTGATGGACCACAATCTCAATACAAATTAGTAAACTAAACATGAGATTGCAGTCTATCACAGGAGCAAGCTTGGAGCGGTATAAAGTAGCCCCCCTCCAGAAGGAAGGACAGTTTCAGCACTAATTCAGAGATGATTGGAGGATCTACAGCCGAGTGATACACAAATAAGATATATTTTTGTTAATAGTTAAGGAACTTGAATGTATTTTTAAGATTGAACATCTGAGTGTAGTGTCACTTTAAATCTATGCATGTGAAATTGGCTTGCATATAAGCAAGACTTGTTAGGCATTCTTAACTTCCACTCAGGAACTGTACACTTTATAGAAAGCAAGACCTCATACCTGACTTGGAGACATCAGTAAGCAACCTGGAAGCTGAAGAACCAGCAGACTCCGAGATCTTCTCCAGCACAGGGACTTTTTGAATTTCCTACCAAGATACAAGATGGGAACTCATGAGCTTAAAGACTAACAGCGCCAAACCTACCGAACCCATTTTCAGTAAAAGCAGAAAGTGTGCTGCACATTTGAAGTTATAGCAGAAAATAAAAAACATCAAAAACAAAGAAAAGTGTGGCCACAGCCATCAGCTGTAATTTTACTTGATGATCCTATGAGGGTAATTCCTATACAGGTGAAACTCGATTAGAATATCGTGCAAAAGTTCATTTATTTCACTAATGCAACTTAAAAGGTGAAACTAATATATGAGATAAGACTCATTACATGCAAAGCAAGATAGTTCAAGCCGTGATTTGTCATAATTGTGATTATGGCATACAGCTCATGAAAACCCCAAATCCACAATCTCAGAAAATACGAGTTTCACCTGTATATATAGTAGAGCCACCCTGAAGGTGGCCATACACTGTACAACCATCGCAAGACCTTAGTCTTGCGATGGTTGTAAAGTGAGTAAAGTGATTAAAAAAACATACGATCTGCCCATCTTGGACAGGCAGATCGTACTCTCGATCATCGCAAGTCCGCCCCCCCTGAGTAGAAACGGTCGCACTTCTTCATTCACACTGCTCGATTCTTGTACGATCGTGGGATTTCCCGCGATTCTCGTACGAGAATTGAGCAGTGTATGGGCACCTTAAGACAGCAAATGTTACTGGCCAGAGCACCAGGTAAAAATAACGGGGGAAAAAGAAAACGAATGCAGCTACCGCATTGTAGGCAATATTTGACATTGTTTTTGGGTTTAGATACACTTTAAAAGAGAACTATCGAGAGAGAGAAATGTACACTTCCTGATGCTTTGATTTTGTGTGCAACACTGTAGCCGTCACATGCTGGCTCTATAGATTGAGAACTGAGTGATCACAAACTGCTGATCGCTCAGCTCTCGGTCTTCTCCCTCTAGAGAGTGGTGACTATCAGTCACTGCTCCCCTCAGGGACTCCTCCCCTCTCTCTTTTCCTCCAGCACTCATTGAAGGGACAGACAGGGGAGAGGGGGCAGGCACTGGCTCTAGAGAGGCGTGATGGATCCCGACAATACTAATGCAAGTAGGCAGTAGTATGCTGCGTTTGTGTCACAGGAGTACATTAGTAAATGTCCTCCTGCGACCCAAAAGAGAACTAAAGCAAAAAAAAAAAAAAGGTTAGGCTTTAGTTCTCTTTAACCCCTTCGTGACTGACGTACAGTGTACGTCGCCAGCATTGGGGCTGTTTAAACAGACTCCCGGTGAAGTGTTGTGTTTTGGGGGCATTTTATTAAATTTTTCACTAAATATTGGGGTTTAATAAGGAGTTGCGCTAATATTGCGCAACATAAAAATTTGCAACTACCACCATTTTATTCTATAGGGTCTTGGCATTCAGAAAATATATAATGTTGGGGGGTTTTAAGTAATTTTCAGGCCTAAAATGTGGAATATAACATAGGTACAAAAAATGAAAAAAAGGCCTCAGTCATGAAGGGGTTAAAGTATGTCTAATCTTTACCCAACATTTAATGTAAAACTGGAAGGCCCACTAGGAATGTGCAAACAAGAAATCTTGCATTCTCTGCCATTGTAACCCTGCAGCTGGCACATTAAGTAGTTGCTCCCGACATTAAGCAGCTTCAGGTTTACTGTACTGTAAGTCAGCTTGCGTGCTCCTGTGATGTCACCATTTTGATTAGCGGGAATATATGGCATACCTGAGTGGTCTCCTGTGGTTGCATGGATAACAATGGTGCATGGGGCTTCACAGGTACACTTGTTATCTTTGGAAGTGATGTATCGTACCCTCTCTTCCTCTTCCCTGGAGGTTCAGATAACTCACTTGTGTTACCTGGAAAACCATAAAAGTCGATAGGAAATTGTTACATGCAGAATTGATTAAAAAAGTGTAAGACATCTATATAGGCCTCCATTTGCTGCTTTATTAACTCTGATACGCAGTTCAAAGGGCTAACAGCCCTGCTCTTTGGATGACACAGTGGGTCTTGGACACCCATTATAAAGGCTTTTTTAAAACAAGGGGAGTGTTCAGGTCGCTGCTAACTGACAATAGGGAACGGAGCCACTGGCTCTGTGGAGGGTGGAAAGGTGAGGGGGGAAAGGAGGGGAGTACGAGTCACTGGGTCTGTCAGCGAGGGAGCAGTAGTAAGAGCCACTGGGTCTGTCAGAGAGTGGGGCCAGTAGTATGAGCAGTATTAGCCAATAAGAGACGAGTAATCATTATGCTACCGACCCACCAGTTGGGAATCGAGGTTTTAAAGTAACCAGTCAGTTTTAGAAAGCAGTCCACACTGAAAGAATGCTTTCTGATGGGGAACTCAAGGTTCTGTATACCGCTGTGTTTTCACCAATTGTGTCAACTTTACAGACAATAAATTTTCTCTGCTGGAGTGTTCCCAGATCTAGAATGACACAATTTCATTTACCGTTACATTCGCTTTCCCGGGTGTCACTCCGTGTTTCTTGCTCCTCCTCCGAGAAACCTGGAAATGGTAGTTTTCCTTCATTTTCCTCAACTGCTTGGAAAGCATTTCGAAAAGAGGACATTTTTTCTTTTAATACTGAATTCCGCGGAGATATAAAGGGGTTTGTCTGTAAAAGCTGAAATAAATCAATCATTGCTAGCATTACAAAATGTAAATATTACATCGAAAATGGCTCATTATGCAGGTCCTGCTACACTACATGGGCCAATAACAGCATCAGAGTATGAAAGACCTTTCCTGAGTCTTCTACATAGCTCTGTACATATGTGTGTTTAACTGCTTACATTGATCCAGCAGACTATAGATGCCCACAGGCTCATGAAGACATGACCAGGCCACCCCGAGTGCCAGCTCTCAGCAAATCACATTATCAACTTGAAGTATTGGGCCAGTCAAAGTATTTTCATTGGAAAGGGGAGGAGAAGTCCTGATTTATCACATGGCGGTTCACAAGTAGACTCGGGGACCACTTACAGAATTGAGATCAACACTCAGCCTGGCTGGATCGGGTGATTGTGCCCTCAAGTCATTGTGTACCCCAAAGACTGGCCATGAACAGATGAAGAGCAGGTACCACAAAGACACAGTTCGAGGTTGAACTACAAAAGGTAGCTGTAATTATACCAAGTATTAAGAAATTGAATGTTAGTGCTCACCAAAAAGAGTCTGCCTGCATAGCAAGTCCTCTTCCAGAGCACCCTGGGAACCCCTAAATGCTGCATATCCAGTCTTCTTCCAGAGAACCCCTAAATCATGCACAGCCAGTCCTCTTCCACAGAACCCTGGGAACCCATAATTCCTGAACAGCCAGTCCTCTTCCACAGTACCCTGGGAACCCATAATTCCTGCACAGCTAGTCCTCTTCCACAGTACCCTGGGAACCCATAATTCCTGCACAGCTAGTCCTCTTCCACAGTACCCTGGGAACCCATAATTCCTGCACAGCTAGTCCTCTTCCACAGTACCCTGGGAACCCATAATTCCTGCACAGCTAGTCCTCTTCCACAGTACCCTGGGAACCCATAATTCCTGCACAGCTAGTCCTCTTCCACAGTACCCTGGGAACCCATAATTCCTGCACAGCCAGTCCTCTTCCACAGTACCCTGGGAACCCATAACTCCTGCACAGCCAGTCCTTTTCCACAGTACCTTTACACAGATTTACGTGAGTACCGACGTATACCCTTGTACAGCATTCATGCCTGTGGACGGCTGTACGCACCAGCCAGGTTTCCAGAGAGTGGAAAAAAGCCAGTTTTTACATTGCACGCCCATGGACATGAGACCCAATAGTGTGCGCTGGGTATTGACTTGACTCTCTAGCCCAGGGGTGGCCACAAACTGAAACTCCCAAAGACAGATGCATGATGGGGTTTTTAATTTCAGCTCAGCTGGAGGTCCGGAGTTTGCCCACCCCTGCTCCAGACTATACTACAATTGGGACAGCTGTTGTACTTTATGAATGGCTCCATTTACCAGAGGCTCGGGGTTGCACTGCCTCTTGCTTCTCTGCAGTGCAATCTGGCGAATTAGATAGTTTGTTTCGGGTGATCCGCGGACACCGATTGTAGATCTGCGCCTGTGTTTGTGCAGAGACCTGGGGGATTTTCCTAAATGAAAAAGAATTGACAGATCAATTACAAAAAAAACAATAAAATAAAAAAAAGGGCCAGAACATAAAAGTTTATTTTTAAATGTTTTAGGTGTTAAAGCAAACCCAGAGGATTAAAAAAGAAAAAAATATGGAGCATGCCTGCAGAAAACACTGTTCTGACTCCCATGGTGGCCAATGTGATGACCTCAGCTGAAGGAATGAGGAGTTGCAGGCAGAGCTGACCAGCCAGCAGCTCTTACTTGAAGTTTGAACCTTCTCCTTAGCCAGATCATGTGACTGGCGCTCTAGGAGTATGCAGTGGGGATTTTTCGGTGATCCCGCTGTTTTCCTGCTCATTAACTTAGTTCCTGGCTGACGCCGCTATGCAGTCTCATTATAAAGGACTTAAACCCCCCCCCAACGTTGTTGGCACCGAGAAGCATTGCCACCTTATGCATAGTCTCTGGGCTTCCCCTCGCTGCATGCTAACAAATCCGACAATGCTCAGGCAGAGGAACATACAGCTACACCCTCCTCCTAATGAATGAATGGGGGTGATGTAGATCACTCTTTCATTCATAATTGGGGATATAGTTCTCAATTATGTACACACACTCAGCGATCACCGAGTGTGTGTACATTGCTTTTCTCTATAACACGTTGTCACAGGAGGCTGATCGAGCGGTGTAGAGAGGAAAGCCCAGCCTCCTGTGACAGCGCTGTCTCCGCCCCCACACCGCTCTGCTGGACTGTGATAGGCGGCTGAGCGGTGTGGGAGGAGAGACGACGGCCGCTCACAGCGCTCTCGTCCTGCAGCGCTCGGCTGTCACTTTCTTTTCTCCCCGCTGGAACAGCGCCCAGCGGGGAGAAAAGAAACCAGGGATGCGCCGATGTATCGGCCGAAACATGGCTCTTTCGGCATTATGCCAAAAGTGCCATTTTCGGCCGATATGTTTTGGCGCCGATATATCGGTAATTCCCTAATTTTTTAAATAAACACAACATAGACCCAGATTGCAACATGTATGTTATTATTTTATACTTACAAGAGTACCCATGTTATATTCCTCATTTTAGGCCTGAGAATTAATTAAAACCCCCAAACATTATATATTTTCTGAAAGCCAAGACCCTATAGAATAAAATGTTGGCAGTTGCTAATTTTTATGTTGCACAATATTAGCACAACTTCTTATCAAACCCACAAAATTTAGTGAAAAATTTAATTAAATGCCCCAAAACACAATACCCATTTTTTTATGAAATATAAAAGATGAGGTTACAACGAGTAAAACGATACCCAACATGCCCAGGTTACAAATTGCGTGCATCCGTAAAACGGCGAAAAACCCCTGTACCCCAAAAAGTCCATAGACGTCACTTTAAAAGCCCACACAGGTCATCAATTTATAAATGCCCAAAAATACTGGCTCTAGAATTATTGGTCTCACTCTGGCGTGCGCGGCGATACCAAACATGTATAGCGCGTTAGCCGTTTTCATACGTAGGCGCACCCGACGCATGTTTATGTGTCGACGTGCGTACTCGCGGGGGAATTTTAAACATTTTTACATTATTTTAAGATTTCATTTCATGTAAAAGGGGGCTTACAAGCCCCTCATGTGATAGCAGATGGTGGCGACAGGTACTCTTTAAGGTGATACTGGGGGTCCAAAAGACCCCCAGTGTCACCTTTACACTCCAAATAAGCTACTGAAGTGCAGATCGCACTTCAATTGCTTATAGCTGGGCTTCAGGAGCCCAGCACTAACAGCTATGGGACCGGAAGTGATGCAATCTACATCGCTTCCAGACCCATAGAACAGGGAGGGGATCAATGAATGGAGGATTGTCCATCTCCTCCCCAGCTCCCCACTGACACCAGAGAAGGGGGACCGCTTCACCGGGCTGTAGAAGCGATCTAGCGACAGCTGAGTCGCCAAAATCGCTTCTATTGTAAAGCTTTAGAAGACAGTCGGCTTTACAAGTTTAAACAGAGTCCCGGTGGGGCAAAGGCCATCGGGAGTCTGTTTAAACAGCCCCGATGCTGGCGACGTATACTGTACGTTGTCAGTCACGAAGGGGTTAAATGCCGGGACAGTGCCTCTGTTACCCATGTAGAGTACTCCAGGACTATTTGCATCACAATTACTGACCAAGTGGTTGTCAGCAGCAGGACACAGGGGGGGGGATTTATAAAAACTGGAGCAGACAGAAACTGGAGCAGTTGCTTATGGCAACCAATCAACATCTCTCTTCAGTTTGCTCAGGCAAGATTTGAAAATGAGACAGAGAAGCCGACTGGTTGCAGTGCAAATCTGCTCCAGATTTTGATAAATTCCCCCCACTATATAGCAGTCACTTGGAGAAACAGGGTAGCCGTTAGCATGAAGGAAGAACCGCCCGATGGGCTATTGTATTCTGACAGCCACCTACTGCCTGTGTTCGGCTAAGATTTCTCAGACTGGCTCCTCCGACAAAAGTCGTCTTTGAAGGGGGGCCAACTGGACCCCACACTGGCAAGGTCAGCAGAACCCCTACAAAATTCAACCAGTGCTTGGCCAGCTTAAAAGATGAAGATCGCAAGTCAAAGAATCCTTAGCGGCATACGCACACCCCTGCTTGCCACCTACCTCCAGAGTTGGTGAATTTCTCGCTTGTAATGCCAAAATCATCCACGGTGGCTGTAGAGAAATCCACTGGTGTGTTTGACTCCCCAATACGCCAATCCGAAAAATCGATGTCCTTCATGGGAGTTCCGCCATCTTTTTGCTGCAAAGAGACATCACTATCCAATCCAGAAGAACTTTCCTGATTGTTCGACTCCGTGTGGTCTGCTTGCTTCTCAACATCACTCTTCTCATACTTGTATTTCTCTCCATTAATATTCTTAAATGCAGCAGGGGTGATGTTTTCTTTCGATTCATCATTGCTGCTGTATTTGGCATGAGCTTTGGCAGGAAAGGAGAAATTCTGCGTGCATGGGTCTGGCATCGCCTCTTCTTTTACCACCACAAAGGATTGCTGCTCAGTCTGTGGAGGCAAGATGGGAATCTCCTGCAACACTTTCCTGGTGGCCATCCTCTGCTCACCTAGAATGAAGGTCAGATACATAGTAAGAATGAGAACCTCCCCCATCAGAGACCGCTACAAATTAATTTATGTCAACATGAAATTTTCATAGAATGGAGCCATCAGAAAACAGCTAGTAGTCAGTCACAATCAGCTGGACTTGTTCTGTAAGGTTGCAAACATTTAATAGCTTATCCAAGACACTTCAGTTCCAATGAGCGCCAGGAACCCGCGCATCCTAATCCACACAGGTAGCACAGACATCATGAAAATAAAAACCAATAGCGCCAGAGACGACCACTCCACTGAAGTATAAATACACTGAGTGGCCAGATTATTATGACCACCTGACGTTTGTAGGCAAATTAGCTATAATATTGCGGCTGAAGTTGCTAGAGGGCCAGACCATTATAAATAGGGAAGCAGGTTGGTAACCACGACAGTAGAAGTGATTTGTTTCTAAAGATATGGGGAAACAACACAGCCTTTGAACGTGGGATGAGTGTTGGCGCTCGGAGCCATGGAGCGAGTATCAGCAAAACAGCAGAATTCGTTAAATGTTCAAGAGCAGCTGTTGTTAAATTGTTTAAAGACTGGACTGTCAGCCGAAAATCTGGGTGTGAACGTGCGAATTGTGGCAGTCAGCGACTAGTCAATGTTAGGGCAGAACGGGGGAGGGGCAAGACTGGTACAAGACAACAGAAGGGCGACAGTGCAATGTCAGATTCCTCGCATCACCTTTCAACATCCCGTGGAGTCACGAGGCGGCCCAACAAAATATCTGATGAGAAAACAAAAACAAGGGGCGCCTTCCCTAGTGTAGATACATTTTTATTTTATAATTTTAGAAATGGCAAAAATTGGAATGATACTCACAAAAGAGTAGGTAACATTGAGCCTTCAAATCAAAGGTTGATCCTCAGTCTTGGCAAAAAACAAGAGCCGCATGAGAGAGCTGCACAAATGGTGGTTCCAATGTGACAGCACAGTATGCCTGTGCTGTCACATAGGAACACGTTTCCGGGGCCACCAGGTTCGGAGGGAGGGGGCGTGACACCAGAAACGCGTAACCCAGGCATACTGTGCTGTCACATAGGAACCACCATTTGTGCAGCTCTCTCATGCGGCTCTTGTTTTTTGCCAAGACTGAGGATCAACCTTTGATTTGAAGGCTCAATGTTACCTACTCTTTTGTGAGTATCATTCCAATTTTTGCCATTTCTAAAATTATAAAATAAAAATGTATCTACACTAGGGAAGGCGCCCCTTGTTTGTTTTCTCAGCACAGACATCATACCCAACCATAGAGAGTTTCAAGGCAGTTGTTGATTGTCCAAGAAGATGGAAGGTGCGAAAGTTGTGGAACCCCCCCCGTTCTAGTTACATAACCCCACTCTTGAAGGCAGGAAGTCTGCATAGGTGTTAATTAGGGATGCACTGATATTAGTATCGGTACCAATACCGAGTATTTGGGTCAAATGTTCCGATACGGAACTTCCAGTCAGAGGAAGATTTTCTCTGACCGGCAGTGTCGAAGCAGAACATGGAGCTAGCTTCCAATCCAATCAGAAAGACGGGCGGCGAGTGATAACCCGCGCTCCCGGCTTCCTGACTGGCTGGGAAGCCGCCTTCCCGAGCAATCACAATCACGCCGGCAAAACAACATGGAGCCAGCTTCCCGGGCAATCAGGAAGCAGGGCGGCATGTCATTACCCACCACCCAGCTTCCCGATTGCCCGGGACGCCGGCTCCAGGCAAGCAGAAGTAACAGTGTCGGTAATCAGTATCAGCAAGCACCGCAAGCAAAACATCTTTACTCATACCGAAAAACAGGTATCGGTGCATCCCTAGTGTTAATCCTTCAAATCACATGGCTGAAGTTGTGAATTGTCATATCGATGGCGTAGAGATGTTAACAGGCCATTTCTGTTCAGAGATGCTTTTTCCAGTTTAACGTAGATGGTCTCTTTCACCCCTCGTGAGCCAGTTGTCCTTCTGCCATTATAACATCTCTTTCCCCGGCGATTTGACAATAATTCACACATAAACCAATGGAAATCGAGGAATCAATGTCTGCGCCTACTCTGACACTAAGGATGGGATTATAGACAAATCCCACAAGCCAGGTAGCCAATGCACCCTAAAAATCTCAACCAGCACCTAACTTTTGTTATCAATGGAGCTAGCTCCTAAAAAATCTTGCTGGCTCCTGGATTGTCTATTAATTTGTCACTTCTGACTTCCAGTCCAATCTCCATATAATGTGAAGATGTTGAAGGTCCAAGAACTGGATGAGAAGTGTGAAAGTTATGGAACCTCCATGTTCTAGTTACATAATCCCATCCTTGGTTTCAGGAGGTTTGCATAGGTGTTAAAAAAAAAGGGGGAAAGAAAAACCCCACAATTTGGCTTGAAAAGAGCTCAGGTACTTTTTTGCACTACAGGTGACAAAACACTCAATGAACACCTTTGAAAATAATGGGATTCTTCAGGTTGGCAGTCTTCATACTGCCAACACTGGGGGGGATAAATAATAGGGAGGGGGGCAATAACACTGCCCCATCCCTACAGTTCTGGAAGGTCAGTGATGGCATTGAACCCATGTGGAGAGAGTTTAAAGAGGAACTTCGTATCAGGGGCCGCCTGCAAAAACCAGGAGGGACAGCCGGCCTTGATGATGTGCGGCAACAGTGCAGTTCCTCTGAGGTCTCCTGGGAAGTGTGACATGGGTATCTAGGATGCTCAGTTTTGTCTAGGGGTATTGTGTAAAGAACTTTTACTTACCTGATCCCTAGTCCCGCAGCCCCCCCCCCCCCATGCTCTGGTGGTAAGAGGCCTGCTGGCATTACATACAATGCAGGGCCCATAACGCTACATTACATGGGAGGGTGCAAAGGGACAGTACACAAGCTGCAGCAGAGGGGAGAGAGGCGAGTGCCGACTTCCCCCACTCAACACGCTCCTGTTCCCCAACGCTGGTTGGAGGCCTGCTGACATCACATGGGTAAATGAGAATCTTTAGACTAGGGATGCACCGATACCGTTTTTTTCGGTATCGATATTTCGGTATTTGTCCATACCGAGACCAGTACTTCTGGTAGCATAGAACCGGAAGGCTTCTTGATTGCCCGGGAAGCTGATTCCATTCTGTTTGGCCAGCTGGATGCTGTTTGGCCTGGAAGCCGGCTTCCCAGCCAATCGGCATCGAGGCCGGACAAACAGATGTGACAATATGGCGACACGACCCCCACCCTGCAGGCACCTCATTCCCCTCACATAGATCCTTAGCCGCATTCATTAACGTACCAGTCCCTCGGCCAGCTGGGCAGACACCGCTCTCTAGGATCTGCCCACGTCTCCTGTGTGTACGGCGCCCATGTGATCAGCCCCCATTCAGAAATCCTGTGCATGCGCAGTAGCAGGCTGAGGGCCAATCACGTGGGCGCTGTACACATGAGACGTGGGCAGATCCTAGAGAGCGGTGTCTGCCCAGCTGGCTGAGGGACTGGTACGTTAATGAATGCTAAAGGTTCTATGTGAGGGAAATTAGGTGTCTGCAGGGTGGGGGCCGTGTCGCCATATTATCAGATTTGTTTGCCCGGCTCAACACGGATTGGCTGGGAAGCCGGCTTCCCGGCCAATCAGCATGAAGCCGGCAAAACAGCATGGGGCCAGCTTCTCGGCTCCACGTTTCCTTGTGGCACTGCCGGCCAGAGGAAATCTCTCTCTGACCGGAGGTTCCAGGAAAGGAATCGGAGCATTTGGGCATACTCGGTATCGGCACTGATACCGATACTAGTATCGATATCGGTGCATCCCTACTTCAGACATTTCCGATGACAGAAACTGACAATACTGGTGGGGTGGACATTGATCTTATTTATGCAATCACTACATTGTTGCAGGTAGATAGTTACACTTCTGCTGCCCACAACATCCAGAAAGTGTTCTCTTATGTCAACCTTAGATTGTGTATAACTTTGCATATTACACATGTACTTAAAAGAGAGAACAATAGCTCAACCTTTTTTGGCATTAGTTCTCTTTAGTGCCACAGGACGACATTTACTAAAGCCCTTCTGTGACCCAGAACTCAGCATTTACTGCCGGCTATTTCCAGACAGCACAGAGCCGCACTGCAGCCGGGAAAGATGGCAACAATATTGTCAGGATCCACTGAGGCCTGATTGACAGCTGGCTCTCCCTGTCTGCAGCCAGAGCCAGCTATGCCCGCCCCCTCCCCTGACTGTCCATCCAGTCCCTGCGTCTCTGCAGGGAGAAGATCGTGAGCTGAGCGATCAGTGGTTTGCGATCCATCAGTTCTCAGTCTATAGAGCCGACGTGTGACAGCTGCAGTGTTCCACGCCAGCTCAAAGTATTGGGAAGCGTATATTTTATTATACAGGATTTATATAGCGCCAAAAGTTTTGCGCAGCGCTTTACAATATAGGGCAGACATTACAATCACAATACAATTCAAGAAGTATATTTTATTATCCCAATACCTCTTCTTTAAGGATAATTAAAGCGGACCTTTACCCTCTTTAAAGCAGAACTCGAGGCAAATCAATTATTAGCCCTTGCAGTGGGGCGCTCTCTTCAGCATGTTCACACTTTGAAATAGAAAGACAGGTGCTGATTGGTTGCCATGGGCAACTGCTCCAGTTTTGATCAATTACCCCCACTGTGTTTAAAGGAGAATTATGAGGAGAGTGAAAAAAATCACTCAGCCTCATAGTTCTAGATCGGGAAGTGAGCGAACACATACAGTCACTCACTCACTTCTCGATCATGTCTCTGCAGAGAGCAGTGACTGTCACTCACGGCTCCCTGCAGGGATTCCCCCCTCCCCTGTCCGATCCTCCAGCGCTGACTGGCAGAACGGATGGGGAAGGGGGTTGGCACAGCTGGCTCTGCCTCTACGTAGACAGAGCCAGCTGTCACTCACGCAGCTGGGTGGATCTCGACAGTAATGTCAGGATCCGTCCTGGCTGCGGCGTCCCAGTATACCGCGAGCTGTATACTGAGCTTTGGGTGACGGGAGGACGCTAATTTGCGTCCTCCCGTTACCCTTAGGAGAGCTATGGGGGAAAAGCCCTGACCCCATAGTTCTCCTTTAAGGGTTTGTTTGCAGGTGTCCGCAAGAGCACAAAGAGAGCAATTGTAGTCTATGTGCCCTGTTCACCCCACAATGGAAAGGAGAGGGGCATTTTTTGGCATTGCAAATTTACATGTCTGTTTTTATGACTCCAGCTGTGCTGAAACTGCAAATCCCATGAGAATTCTGCAATGCTTCATGGGACTTGTAGTTCCACAACAGCTTGAACGCTGTAGTTGCCCTCCCCTGTACTAAAGGCATCCCAAGAAGATATGAGCGTTTCCCAGATAAGATCCCGATCTGCAACCAGAGAAATCTTCATGTTCTAAGAAAGCCCAGTCATGTATATGAAGGGCACCTGTGTCCTATACAATACCATATACAGACACACACACAGCCCCCCTTCATGTATACACAATCCTATCTAAAATGTTTATTTCCCCCCATGCACACATATATATA